AGGTTGTTTTTGGTAATTTTAAAATAAATGTGCCAATGACCCATGATTAAAGAAGACCATTTGTATATATTCCTTGTTCATTTCTCAAAAGGTGATCGTTTGTTTTGATTGGTTCTTCTTTCCTTCATGTGGATCTGTCCTCATCTAACTTTCTGCTCTCTCTACTTTCTTCCCCCTGTGGTCTCATTGAAGTCTTAATCTAGTCTCCCAACTTCCAGCTTGTCTTTTCTTTGAGGGGTAGGGCAGTATTGGGGTCCAAACTCAGGGCCTCAGGCTTGCTAGGCAGGCACTCTACTGCTAAACCTCATCTCCAGTCCTTTTATGCATGACTTTACTCCTTTTAAATTTTTGAGTTAACATACGTTTATAATATAATATAAATATGAGGGGGCTTCATTGTGATATTTTCATGCATGCACACAATATCCTTTGAATAATTCACTCCCTCCACAATATTCCCATTCTTCCCCTCTCTCCTCCTCTACTTTTTCAAAGCATTTGGGTATTTCATTTTGTTATACATTACATGTAACACAATGATCTCAAGATTCATCCATAGAAATGAGTATGGAGGCTCCTCAAAACACTGAAAATGGGCGTTGGAGGTGTGGCTCAGGTGGTAGAGCATTAACCAATGAGCAAAGCAAGAATCATGAATTCAAGTCCAGGTCCCAAACAAAACAAACAAAAAACCGACAAAGGGGCCTGGGAAGGTAGCTCAGTGGTAGAGCGCTTGCCTTGCATGCATGAGGCCCTGGGTTCGATTCCTCAGCACCACATAAGCAAAAAGAAAAAAAGCCAGAAGTGGCACTGTGGCTCAAGTGGTAGAGTGCTAGCCTTGAGCTGAAGAGCTGAGGGACAGTGCCCAGGCCCAGAGTTCAGGCCCCACGACCCGACCCAAAAAAAAAAAAAACCCGACAAAAAGGGGCTGGGAAGATGGCTCAGTGGTAGAGTGCTTGTCTTTCATGCCTGAGGCCCTGGGTTCGATTCCTCAGCACCACATAAGCAAAAAGAATAAAGCCGGAAGTGGCGCTGTGGCTCAAGTGGTAGAGCGCTAGCCTTAAGCTGAAGAGCTGAGGGACAGCACCCAGGTCCAGAGTTCAGGCCCCACGACCGGACCTAAAAAAACAACAACAAAAAAAAAACAAAAAAACCGACAAAAAGTAGACCAACTTTATGACCTGCTATATATCTGAGCATATGTCTGAAGGAAAATTAAGAAAGAGAAAAGATAATTGCATTTGGACTGAGAATGTGGCTTGGTGGTAGAGTGGTTGCCTAGCATGCATGAAGCTCTGGGTTCGTTTCCTCAGTACCACATAAACAAAAAAAGCTGGAAGTGGCGCTGTGGCTCAAGTGTTAGAGTGCTAGCCTTGAGGCAAAAGAAGCTTAGGTGCCCAGGCCCTGAGTTCAAGCCTTAGGACTGGAAAAAAAAAAAAAGATAATTTCATTTATTTCATCTCTGTTCATAATAGTCAGACAGTGGAATCAGCCCAACAATTGATGTTTGGGCAAAGAAAAAGAAAAAATATAGACCATGCATATATGCATGCATGTGTATGTGTACATGTGCGCATGCATGTATACATATACACATGTAACACCATGCAATATTACTCAGCCATTGAAAAATTGAGTTGTGCTGGACACCGATGGCTCACACCTGTAATCCTAGCTGCTCAGGAGGCTAAGATCTGAGGACCACAGTTTGAAGCCAGCCCAGGCAAGAAAATCTGTGAGATTATCTCCAATAAACTACTCAGAAAAGGCTGGAAGCAGCACTGTGGCTCAAGTGGTAGAGCCCTAGCCTTGAGCAGAGGCAGCTCAGAGATAGCACCTAGGCCCTGAGTTGGCATGAAAAAAAAAAAATGTCATTTGCAGGAAAATGGATGTATCTGTTAATTTTTGAGATATGGTTTTGCTTCCTTCCTCAGATGTATGCCTAGACTATGATTTATGTATTTTAAGCTTTCTATAGTAGTTGGGATGACAGGCATGCAATATCACCATGCCCAGCTACAGCTTTCCCAAAAGCTAGGATTACAGGAGTGCCCGGGTTCCCTCTAAGCCTGCTTGAATGATTCCATTTCAGCGGGTACTGTAAACAAGCCTAAAACTAAACTCCCCACCTTCCTCTTTAGAAAGACTTCTGATGTTCTACCTCCATTAGGCAATTATTGCCCTCTTACTCTGGGATCCAGTCCTGGCACTCTCTTTGACTCATCTTTCTAAATGGGTCCCACCCTTGCTTTTGCAACTTATCTAATTGCTTATGAAATCCTTTATTTTTGAATCTGCTCTCATCCTTTTTACTGCTATTATATTGGACTCCAAACCAGGCTTCCAACTCCAACTCATTCTAGCTAATCAAGCTAACTCATTTTCCCAAAGCAAAGCCTTAGTTTTTGTTATTCCCTTGTTCAAAAATAGATCCCCTTTACATACTTTGTGAAATATAACTTCCTTAGCCTTGTATTCAATGGCCTCCAAGAATTGCTCCTAACTTTCTCTGTCAATCTTGTGTTTTATTACTCAGTATGAATCTTGTCCTGAAATCAAATCTGTATATGCAATCCCATATATATGATGTATTTCCTTGTCTCTGTGCCCTGGCTTTTACTTTCATGCTACTAGAAAGTCTCCTTGCCATATATATGCAACACACATCTATATATACATACATATATAGACAATATATATTGTTCATATATATGAATACATAATAACATATTTTATGGATGAATATATAAAATATATATGAATAACGTATCAGTGGCAAAATATGGATTTCCCCTTCTGAAGGAAATTCTAGGAATATTCTATCTTAAGTGTGCTCAGACATATTCACTTATAACCATATTTAATAAAATCATTCCACATATGCTTGTTTGAAATTTGCTTTTTTTCTCTTAATAATACTATTTGTGTAGTTTAGCCACATTCTTTTTTTTTTGGGGGGGGGGTCCGGTTGTGGGCCTGAACTCTGGGCCTGGGCGCTGTCCCTCAGCTCTTCAGCTCAAGGTGAGCGCTCTACCACTTGAGCTACAGCGCCACTTCCGGTTTTCTGGTGGTTTATTGGAGATAGGAGTCTCACGGTCTCTCCTGCACGGGCTGGCTTTGAACTGCGATCCTCAGATCTCAGCCTCCTGAGTAGCTAGGATTACAGGCGTGAGCCACCAGCGCCCAGCAACAGTAATTGTTTTATTTACATTTGCTTATCCTAGTGCCATCATTTAGCCTGTTGGTAATCTATAGGCCCTAAAACATTTAATTTTTTTTTAATTTTTCCAGTCTTGGTTATGATCAAACTGCAGCCTCACCAATGTTGGGTAAAGCTGTACCACTGATTTATATTCCTAGCTCCTGTATGTACTTCAAATATCTGATTAAAAGTCCATCTCAGCCAGGTGCTGGTGGCTCATGCCTATAATTCTAGCTACTCAGGAGGCTGAGATCTGAGAATCATGATTCTAAGCCAGCCTAGGCAGGAAAGCCCTTGAGACTCTTTTCTCCAATTAATCGCAGAAAAAGATGGATGGAAGTAGAGCTGTGGCTCGAATGGTAGAATGCTAGCCTTGAGCAAAAGGAGCTCTGGGATTCAAAATTCAGGCTCAGAATTCAAATCCCAGGACTGGTTAAAAAAAAAAAATCCATCTCTTAGCCAAGCACAGTGATTCTAGTATGTAATTTTAGCTATTCAAGAGGCTAAGATCTAAGGATCACAATTTGAAGCCAGCCCAGAAAGAAAGTCCAAGGGACTGTTACTTACAATTAGCCACCAAAAGACCAAAAGTGAAGCTGTGGCTCAGGTGGTATAGCACCGATTTTGAACAGAAAGCTAAGGGGCAGTGTCTAGGCCCTGAGTTCAAGCCCTAATGCCTGCACACAAAAAAGTCCTTCACAGATATTTTTCATCAAATTTCTTTCATTGCTAAACATCTGCAATATTTCATTTGTAAATAATGTTCATACTACTTTGAATCCAGCGATGGGTTTATGTTTTATTTATTCAATCACTGAATATAACACGTTGGGAGTAAGGCCTTAATCTTATTCATAGAAATGTTGAAGCAGCCGGGTGCCGGTGGCTCTCGCCTGTAATCCTAGCTACTCAGGAGGCTGAGTTCTGAGGATCTCGGTTCAAAGCCAGCCCGGGCAGGAAACTACCTGTGACTCTTATCTCCAATAAAGGATCAGAAAAACCAGAAGTGGCGCTGTAGCTCAAGTGGTAGAGTGCTAGCCTTGAGTTGAAGAGCTGAAGGACAGTGCTCAGGCCCAGAGTTCAAGCCCCACAACCAACAAAAAAAAAAAAAAAGAAAGAAAGAAAAATAAAAGGAAAGAAATGTTGAGCGTAGGGGTAAACAATAATTTTGAGGAGTCTACTCACCAAACCACTCATTTTAATAAAAGGAATACAAGCATGTGTGTAGAATGAGTTACAGTTCACAAGGGCATTTCGGAGACATTCGTCATATTAAATCTAATATTAAACTTGTAAGAAAAACATCATCGTTATCCTATCTTACGTAAAAGGAAACTAAACCCCAAATTTACTAAAAAAAAAAAGTGATTAGCTCAAAGCAGGTACAAGACTAGACTCTAGCGTTCTCGAATACTTCCAATACATCCCAGCCTCCTCTCTTGTTTTCTTCCAGCACTGAATACCATAATCAATATTTGTAAATGCAAGGTCTCAGAAACAGAAGTCAAGTGTCGCGGCGATTTAACCATCTGCAATTAAATAAAGCAAATACGCTGAGAGCTGAAGATGTACAGCTCTAGACACACCTTTCACTCTTCCCAGGGTTGTAAGTAGCTTTCCAGTCTCCGGTGGTTCCGGACGAGAGCTGCTAAGCTTCAGGTCACTAGACAAACACGGCTGCGCGCTGCCCCTTTAAGACGGCAGGCGGCGCGTGCCCACAGCCCTTTCAAATGGACCAATAAAAGGGCAGCAGGCGGTTCGCCGCGAACCAATCAACAACGAGGACACTGCGGGGTGTGCGGCGGCCCAAGCGGTTTCAAACGGCTTTAGAGCAGGCCCCTCGGTTCTGACCCGGCGGAGGTGAGTGGACGATGAGCCCGACCCAGCTGGCTTAGGCCTTCGGAACCGGGCGTCGCGCGCACGGAGGGCCCCTGAACCCCGGGCGGGAGGCCTCCGCGGACGCGCGCCTGCCTTGCGGCACGAACCCGGCAGGTCTGAGGCGGCGTAGCGGGGCGGAGGCCGGGAGGAGACCCGCGGCGAGCCGGGCGGGCGGGGGTGGGGGGGCGTGGGCGCTCGCGGGCGGTGCAGGCCGGGCTGGGATTCGGATGACCCAGAGCGCGCCGCAGTCGGGCGCCGGAGGCCGAGGCCCAGGGGATGCGGGCGGCGCCGGGCCGCTCCTGGACCTGAGGTGCACCAGGACTAGGGCGGGGGCCTCGCGAGCCGGCCCTGACGGAGGGAGCGTCGTCTTATATTGCCAAATGAATGAATGAGGAAGAGCCCGTGAGGATTGTGGTGGTGGTGAAGGGCCGGGTCGCCTCCGAGCGTGACAAGGACAAGTGGTACCGGGGCCTGGCCTTCTCGCTCACAACCGTGTCCCTACCGGCGGCGAGTTGAATGATTCTGAACCTTCTCCGGTCCGCCCTTTTGCATGGCTTCTGCCCGTAAGGTGTCGGGTTGGGAGAGTTCAAGTATCTTTGCTGCGCTGAAGCTTTTGACGAGCAATACAATAGCGTAGCAGTGTAGGTTAAGCAGGCCTTGCTGCTTAAATGTGGGGGAGCTCAGTAAAGCTAGATTCTTACTTTTTGGCTCCCCTTCCCTCCCCCCCCACCCCCACTGCTAGATGAGATCGCTACCTGCAGTCAAATTATCATCACCGTCGTCGTCCTCAGACGAGCTTTAACTCGTTTTCATCCTTGCATAGAAAATGATAGGAGAAATATTGCTAGAGTGGCTGTTGTGTGTTTGAAAAGAGATCCACGTTCACGAATCTTTTAACAATGAAGTTTTTCATTCGGCATCAATAGAGGGGGGAAGGTTTTGCAGAACTTGCCCCAAATTGATGCATGGCTCTAATTGAATGCTCATGGGAACCAGGACTTCGAATCTTGGCCCAGATATGATGCGTCTCTCTTACGTTTTGCATAATTATAGTAACTGAAAACTCATTTTTAGAAAGGTGAGCGATTCTTTTCTTTATTTCCATCACCCTGAAAACTCCTTTGGCCTAACAAGCAATAAATTAAGCTAACAATCTTTTGAAACGTTTCTCGGGTGGACAGACTATAATGTTACAAAATAATGATGTAAAGGTGAGGTCAGTTAATTTTGACAGAACAAATTGAACTAGTTGGTAAGCTTATGAGGAAAAATTTTTCACAGGTTTTTAAAGGCCATGTAAGGTCACGTAAGGCAATGGCAAGTAAAGGTATTCCATCACAGTAGGCCCTATACTTTGCCAGTTTTAAAGTTTTGTTTTGTTTTCCTCTTGGTGATACTGGGGTTTGAACGCCAGACCCCACACTTGGTTTGCAGGCACTCTACTGCACTATGTCCCCAATACTTTTGCTTTGGTTATTTTTCAGATAGTGTTTCAAGATCTTTACTAGTTCTGACCTTAGATCTGAATCCTTCTACCTGTATCCTCCAGAGTAGCTGAGATGGCAGGCATATATTACCACACTGCTTATTGACTAAAATGAGTTCTTGAATTTTTTGTTTGGCCTGGCCTCAAATCCTTCAGTCTGCATAGCTACGAATATAGGTGTGAACCACAGTGCCTAATACTTTAAAAGTTTCGATTACCACTTGGAAGTGGTGCTGTAGCTCAAGTGGTAGAGTGCTCACCTTGAGCTGAAGAGCTGAGGGACAGTGCCCAAGCTCAGAGTTCAAGCCCCACGACCGACAAAAACAAAAAACAAAAGTTTTGATCACCAAAGTTCAGTTATGAAGATAGTCTTCTATAATTGATAGTTCTAGTAGCAGCTATAAATGCAATAGTGAATATCTTAATATTATGAACAAGGGAAGGGGTGACATTGTCCAACAAGAAATGTACTCTACCTAAGTTGTGTAACTGTAACCCTTCTGTACATCACCTTTATAATAACAATAAAAAGTTTAAAAATATGAATAACAACAATACCTTTGGATAGTGTTAAAAATGATGAGGTATGAAAGCTTCATATTTCAGTAAAGGCAGGCTTTCTCATGCTTCTTTGACATGATGGGGTCTTGTTCATTTATGCATTGTTCTAGGTTTGGGGAGCACAGAGATGAGTCGGAAAAAAAGGCCAATCCTCTGACTTAGGGAATCTGACAGTTTAATCTTTCATATACACCAACTTCTACTTCAGTACTGGTCCTTGAATAAAGTAAATTGATAAATATTTTTACTAGTAGTAGCTTGCATTTATTGAATGATTTCTGGTGCCACATTTTATTTATTTTAATTTTTACAACCCATGCTGGGGCTTGAACTCAGGGCTTTATGCTATACTTGAGCTTCTTTTGCTCAAGACTAGCACTTTACCACTTGAGCCACAACTCCACTTAGCTTTTTGGTGGTTACTTGTAGGTAAAAAGGAGAACTTTCCTGCCTGACTGGCTTCAAACCTTGATCCTCAGATCTCATTCTCCTGAATACAGGCATGAACCACCAGTGCCAAGCTCTTTTTTTTTTGTCAGTTGTTTGGCTTGAACTCTGGGCCTAGGAGTGTCCCTCAGCTCTTCAGCTCAAGGCAAGCACCACTTGAGCTACCGCGCCACTTCCAGTTTTCTGGTGGTTAATTGGAGATAAGAGTCTAAGAGTCTCATGGACTTTCCTGCCTGGGCTGGCTTTGAACCGTGATCCTCAGATTTCAGCCTCTTGAGTAGCTAGGATTACAGGCATGAGCTACCAGAACCTGGTTCTTTTTTTTAAATCTTCTGTGTTTTACAGGTGAGGGAACTGAGAAAGATTATGCAAAATTATTTAACTAAATGATAGAAATTTAAATATAAGTAGTGTGTCTTCAGAGTCTCTTAAGGTTGTATTATATGAACCTTACTGTTTAAGAGAATTTAAGAACAAATTTTGGGCAGAATCTTCTCCTATGCACCCCTTTTGTTTTTCTTTTTTTCTTTCTTTTTTTTTTGGGGGGGGGGTCCGGTTGTGGGGCCTGAACTCTGGGCCTGGGCACTGTCCCTCAGCTCTTCAGCTCAAGGCTAGCACTCTACCACTTGAGCCACAGCAC